GCGATATCGAGGACCAGGTAAGACAGAAAGCTGAAATTTTAAAGGGATGTTCCTCGTCTGCGTGCGACTTAAAAATTTTAAGTTCAGCTCTAAATGTGCGTATTTCTAATGTACGGACGCTTAAATGTTTTGGTGGAAAAATTCCTTACTGAACAACTAAATCATTTTCACCAGGCTTACCGGTGCGATCACGCGTTTTTGCACCACACTTAAAGTACTCAGGTCTCCAATTGCATCAGTGGTTGTTGCTTTACACCTAACTTTTGCGCTCACAAGCATAAATCACCACAAATTTTGCGTAAAGGAAATGGATAACTTTCATTTAATGGTCGTTCTTTTGAAAGTAACCTAACTGTTCAGTGAGTAATTTTCTCACCAAAATTTATAAATATCCATGCATGATAACTAATCATACCTGAAGGTGAATATGAAGAAATTTAGGTTGTATTTGGACCGGAAACATTCCATTTTTCAACTTTTCTGGTTACCGAATCAGTAATTTTCCCGCCAAAACCACATGCCCATACGTGATTGCCCACGTATCGGGAAACTGAATTGGAAATCTTTAAATTGCACGTGGACAGGGAATAATCCCCTAATGTTTCAGCTTTTCAGCTTTTCTGGCTGCCGAATTGGCAATTTTTACGCCAAACCTTTCACGTGCTCGTGCGTGATGACCAGCACAACTGACGACTGAAGTTGAAATATTTGAGTTATTCTTGAACTGAGAAAAATTCCAACGTTCTAGCTTTTCTGGTTCTCGAGTTAGTAGTTTTCCTGCCAAAACACTCATACGCTCTTGCCTGAGCATCATGCATACCTGGAGGCTGAATTTGAAATCTTTAGTTAACACATTCACAGGAATATTCTTGCGAAGTTTCAGTCCCTTACCCTGTCTGGTTCCCGAGATCGTTTTCCCCCGAGAAATTTGCATATTCTTCATGAAGTCCACACGCGGTACCTAGGCATAGTGGATGATGATATCAAAACGTTTCAGCCTTTAAAACGTTTCAGCCTTTCCAATGTTTCAGCCCTCTAGTTTTTCTGGTTCTCGAGCTGAAAGTGGGTGACAGAAAATGCAAACACAAAGACACATACACAAACAGCCTCTTGCCAGTATAAGTTTTTGCAATTTGCGTATAGGCAAAAATGCATAAAAACGAGGGGACTTCATGCAAAGAACCGGTAAAACTGTTGCTAAAGC